TCCCAAATGTAGGTATGTGTTATGTGAACCCTAAACCAGTTGCCATCAAGCTGACTCAATTCATGGTGACTCCATGTGTGTCAGTAGAACTGTGCTGCATAGGGTTTTCAATGACTGATTTTTCGGAAGTAGATCACCAGGCCTTTCTTCCAGGGTGCCTCTGAGTGGACTTGAACCTCCAACCTTTCAGTTAGCAGCTGAGTGCATTAACCATTTGCACCACCCAGGGACTCCATGAGAACCCTGTTGTTGTTAGCTGCAGTTGAGTTGGTTCTGATTCATAAAGACCCTGTGTACAACAGAACGAAACACTGCCCAGTCCTGCACCATCCTCACAATCATTGCTGTGTTTGAGCCCATTGTTGCAGCCACTGTGTCAAACCATGTTGTTGAGGGTCTTCCTCTTTTTTGCTGACCCTGTACTTTACCAAGGGACTGGTCCCTCCTGATAACATGTCCAAAGTATGAGAGACAAAGTCTCACCATCCTCACTTCTGAGGAGTACTCTGGCTGTATTTCCTCCAAGACAGACTTTTTCATTCTTCTGGCAGCCCATGGTATATTCAATATTCTTCACCAACACTAATTCAAAGGCATCAGTTCTTTTTCGGTCTTCCTTATTCATCGTCCAGCTTTTGCGTGCATGTGAGGTGCTTGGGACAGGTCCCCCTGAGTCCTCAAAATGACATCTTTGCTTTTTAACACTTTAAAGAGGTCTTTTGGAGCAGATTTGCCCAATGCAATACGTCATTGGATTTCTTGACTGCTGCTGCTTCCATGGGCATTGACTGTGGATCTAAGTAAAACGAAATCCTTGGCAACTTGAAAATATTCTCTGTTTATCATGATGTGGCTTATTGGTCCAGTTGTGAGGATTTTTGTTTTCTTTATGTTGAGGTGTAATCTATACTGAAGACCGTAGTCTTTGATCTTCATCAGTAATTGCTTTGAGTCCTCTTTGCTTTCAGCAAGCAAAGTTGTGTCATCTGCATATCAAAAGTTGTTAATGAGTCTTCCTCCAATCCTGATGCCTCCTTCTTCTTCAAATAGTCCAGTTTCTCAGATTATTTGCTCAGTATACTGATTGAATAAGTATGGTGAAAGGATACAACCCTGACACACACCTTTCCTGATTTTAAACCATTCAGTATCCCCTTGTTCTATTTGAACCACTGCCTCTTGTCTATGTACAGGTTCCTCATGAGCACAATTAAGTGTTCTGGAAATCCCATTCATCTCAATGTTATCCATAATTTGTTATGATCCACACAATCAAATGCCTTTGCATAGTCAATAAAACACAGGTAAACATCTTTCTGGTATTCTCTGCTTTCAGCCAAGATCCACCTAACATCAGCAATGATAACCCTCATTCCACATCCTCTTCTGAATCCAGCTTGAATTTCTGGCAGTTCCCTGTCAATGTACTGCTGCAACCGCTTTTGAATTATTTTCAGCAAAATTTTACTTGTGTGTGATATTAATTATATTGTTCGATAATTTCCGCATTCTGTTGGATCACCTTTCTTTGAAATGGACACAAACATGGATCTCTTCCAGTTGGTTGGCCAGGTAGCTGTCTTCCAAATTTCTTGGCATAGATGAGTGAGCGCTTCCAACGTTGTATCTGTTTGCTAAAATATCTTAATTGGTATTCTGTCAATTCCTGGAACCTTGTTTTTCTCCAATGCCTTCGGTGCAGCTTGGACTTCTTCCTTCAGTACCGTTGGTTCTTGATCATAGCTACATCCTGAAATGGTTGAGTGTTGATCAGTTCTTTTTGATACAATGACTCTGTATTCTGTCCATCTTCTTTTGATGGCTTCCTTCGTCGTTCAATTTTTTTACCCACAGAATCCTTCAATATTGCAACATGAGGCTTGAAGTTTTCTTCAGTTCCTCCAGCTTGACAAATGTTGAGTGTGTTCTTCCCTTTTGGTTTTCTAACTCCAGGTCTTTGCATGTTTCATTATAATACTTTACTTTGTCTTCTCGAGCCGTCCTTTGAAATCTTCTGTTCAGCTCTTTTACTTCATCATTTCTTCCATTCACTTTAGCTACTCTACGTTCAAGGGCAAGTTTCAGTCTCTTCTGACATCCATTTTGTTCTTTTCTTTTTTTCCTATCTTTTTAATGACTTTTCTTTCTTCATGTATTATGTCCTTGATGACATCCCACAACACATCTGGTCATCAATCATCAGTGTTCAATGCATCAAAACTATTCTTTTTCTTTTTGTAAGTGTGCTTTAGATGAAGGTTTACAGAGCAAATTCATTTCTTATTAAACAATTAATACACATATTGTTTTGTGACATTGGTTGCCAACCCCACAACATGTCAACACTCTCCCCTTCTCGACCTTCAGTTCCCCATTTCCATTCGTTCAGCTTTCCTGTCCCCTCCTGCCTTCTCATACTTGCGCCTGGCCTGGTGTGCCCATTTGATCTTGTATACATGGTTTAGCTACATGTATTATTGTTTGTTTTACAGGCCTGTCTAATCTTTGGCTGAAGGGTGACCCTCAGAAGTGACTTCAGTACTGAGTTAAAAGGGTGTCTGGGGGTCAAATCTAGTCTTGAGATGGTCTCTAAATTCAGGTTGGATATACTCAAGGTTGTACTTTGGCTTTCATGCACTTGTTTTAATTTTCTTCAATGTCTAATTGAACTTGCATATGAGCAATTGATGGTCTGTTCTGCAGTCGGCTCCTGGTTTGTTCTGACTGATCATATTGAGCTTCTCCATCATCTCTTTGCACAGATGTAGTTGATTTGATTCCTGTGGATTCCATCTGGCAAGGTCCACGTGTATAGTTGCCATTTAAATTGTTGAAAAAATGTATTTCCAGTGAATAGGTCGTTGGCCTTGCAAAATTCTATCATGTGATCTCTGGTGTCGTTTCTATCACCAAGGCCATATTTTCCAACTACTGATCCTTCTTTGTTTCCAACTTTTGCATTCCAATCACCAGTGATTATCAATGCATCTTGATTGCATGTTTGATCAATTTTAGACTCCAGAAGTTGGTAAAAATCTTCACTTACTTCATCTTTCGCATTAGTGGTTGGTGCATAAATTTGAATAATAGTCATATTAACTGGTCTTCCTTGTAGGCGTATGAATATTATTCTATCACTGACAGCATTGTACTTCAGAATAGATCTTGAAATGTTCTTTTTGATAATGAATGTGATGCTGTTCCTCTTTAATTTGTCATTCCCAGCATAGTAGACCATATGATTTCTGATTCAAAATGGCCAATACCAGTCCATTTCAGCTCACTAATGCCTAGAATATCTATCTTCAAGTGTTTAGTTTCATTTTTGACAACTTCTAATTCTTCTAGATTCATACTTCATACATGCCACGTTCCGATTATTAATGGATGTTTGCAGTTCTTTCTTCTCATTTTGAGTCGTGCCACATAGGCAAATGAAGGTCCTGAAAGTTTGACTCCACCCACATCATTAAGGTTGACTCGACTTTGAGGAGGCAGCTCTTCCCCAGTCGTATTTTGAGTGCCTTCCAACCTGAGGGGCTCATCTTTCGGCACTATGTCAGACAATGTTCTGCTGCTATTTATAAGGTTTTCACTGATCAATTTTTCAGAAGTAGATCACCATGTCCTTCTTCCTAGTCTCAGTCTGGAAGTTCTGCTGAAACCTGTGCACAGTGAGTGACCCTGCTGGTATTTGAAATACAGATGGCATAGCTTCCAGCATCACAGCAACAGGCAAGCCACCACAGTATGACAAACTGACAGATGAGTGGTGGATAAGAACCTTAGGGTAGGTTATTTTTAATCAAGACTGGCTGTCCAAGAGGTCTCTGTGGCTAGAGGACCCCAAAGAAAGGAGGGAAAACCCACAGAGATTAGCTGGTCCAGGCTAGGCTGGGGCGCACACCCTCTTCGTAGTAACACTCTAAGGACCTAATTTCTGAACCCTGGCTTGGGTGGAGGCCGTGCACTGATACTAGGTGAGCAACTACCTGCTGTGTTCAGATACTTAGTTTTCACAGTTATTTAGTAAAACATCTCATTTCTCCCTTACAACTGCCTGATGAGGTGTGTTTTAGGAATGAAGAAACTTAGGTACAAGGACGTTAAGTAACCCTTCCAAGGTTATATAGTTGACACACAAGATAAGCGTTCTGCATTTCTGACGGTTCCAAAGTCCATGCTTCTTCTACAGTACTACAGGGGCAAGGTAACAGAGAATGGCCAGGCTAGGGGACTGGTATCCTCAGTCAGTCTGGTGGGGCAGCCCATGGGTACTGGGCTCTGGGCCAAAGAGTCAGTTTAGGGGTCCGGGGTGCCTTCTGGCGTCCAGTCTGGCAAAGAAGTAGGCCAGAGTAGGGGCCAGCAGAGCTCTAGGGTCCAAACTCCTCAGAACTTTCATCACTGCGTCTTAAACAGGGGCGTTCTGACGTGCTCCAGCTGACGTTAGTTTCTGAAGTGACACATGCCCCGGTTGCCGGTGAGGGAGGAGTAGATCTAGCTACGGCGCAAGCCTCTGGGGACTAACGCAACCGCGCAACCCCAAAGCCGGCCCCGCTCCGGCACCTTAGCCACCTACGGGCACCGGGGCAGCCTGCCAAGCCCGCCAAGAGGTGCGCGGAGGAGGCGGGGGTGCGCCGAACGCGGACTACAGCTCCCACAATGCCCCCGGCCGCCCGGGAAGGGGGGCGCCTGCAGGTGCCTGTGGCCTCGGCGCCTGCGCCCGGAAGTGCCCACGGGTCCGACATGGAGCTGGCGGGGCTGGGCGGTGAGTACCGCGCGGGCCCGCTCCCGCCCCGCCCCGCCCGGGATCGCTGTCCCCTCCGCGGCTCGGGGGCGGGAAGATGGGAGGTTGATGGAGGAGCCGCGGGTGGGAGGGTGAGGTGTCGCATTCCCCAGGCAGGGTCTGGGGTCTGGCGGCAGCCTGGGTTTGGAGAAGCTTCTAGGGGAGGCGCGGAGTCGGTTCGCTGCCGGGTGGAGTGGGAGTGGGTCCGGAGGGGGCAGAGTGGGGTGGAGGGTGGCAAAACCCGGAGACTTGCCAAAGGGCGGAGTTTGACGTTTGATGTGGGGGAAGTCTTAGGAAGCAGGTGGGGTTTGGCTAAATGGCAACGGGGCGCGCATAGAGGCCTTTTTCCCCCCTTGAAGAAACTTCAGCGACGGAGGAATGGATAAGCTTTGGGGTGAAGTAGAGGGCGGAGTAGATAAGCTGTGAAGTGAAGTTTGCTACGAGTTGAGTTTAGGGGAGGAGTTACTTAGAAGATCAGGGACTTTACCTTGGGATGGGGTTTGAGTGAATTAGGGAGCTGGTTAAAGACCTAGAACTCGGGTTATCTAAAGTTATGATTTTCGATTTGGTGATGGGAAGGGGCACCTTGTGGAGTGTGGGGCGACTGGGAGTCCAAACAGTCTGCGCCCTGGGATGTGGCTTGGGTACAGGGAGCAGAGGAATTAGGGCTATGGGAGAGTTGGAGTGGGTTCAGGAGACTGTTGAAGTTCAGAGGGCTCTTGGCCAGAGAGCCAGCCTCTCATGGATTCTTTGTGCCTCTTCAGCTCGGTAGTGCAGCTGGCAAGGTGGGTGCCATGGCCCTGATTGAAGGGGTGGGTGATGAGGTGACCATCCTTTTTGCGGTGCTTGCCTGCCTCCTGGTGCTGGCCCTTGCCTGGGTCTCAACACACACCGCTGAGAGGGCCGACCCACTGCCCCAGCCATCAGGGACCCCAACTTCAGCACAGCCCAGCAAAGCCATGGCAGCTACTGATAGCATCAGAGGGGCGGCCCCCGGAACTGAGGCCCCCAGCCTGAGACACAGAGGTCAAGCTGCACAGCCAGAGCCTAGCATGGGGCTCCCAGCAACACCGCCACCAGACTCCCCACAGGAGCCCCTTGTGCTTCGGCTGAAATTCCTCAATGATTCAGAGCAGGTGGCCAGAGCCTGGCCCCAGGACACCATTGGCTCCTTGAAAAGGTAAGCTGGGCCATAGTGGTATGAGGATCGGAGCGAAATGCTAAAGAATGTGGTGGGAGTGATCACAGACCCGGGTGGGTCACCAGAGACTTCCCCTTCATCTTACAATGACGGAAATGAGGTCCCTAAATTACATGCTGGTCCAGTCCTTTTCCCGATAGCAGACTGCCCTGATGAGGCCAGACCTGGTGGTGGGGTCTAGGGCAGAGGGGAGGGGCGGGTTTTGCTCTAGGGCAGGGACCGGGATTGGCTGAGGCCTGCTCTCTTACCCAGGGCCCTCTCTCCTCAGGACCCAGTTTCCTGGCCGGGAACAGCAGGTGCGACTCATCTACCAAGGGCAACTTCTAGGAGACGATTCCCAGACCCTGGGCAGCCTTCACCTCCCTCCCAGCTGCGTTCTCCACTGCCACGTGTCCACACGAGTCGGTCCCCCACATCCCCCTTGCCCACCGGGGTCAGAGCCAGGCCCCTCCGGGCTGGAAATAGGCAGCCTACTGCTGCCCCTGCTACTACTGATGCTGCTACTGCTCTGGTACTGCCAGATCCAGTACCGGCCCTTCTTTCCCCTGACCGCCACACTGGGCCTAGCCGGGTTCACCCTGCTGCTCAGTCTCCTGGCCTTTGCCATGTACCGCCCGTAGTGCCTCCACGGGCACTTGGCAGTGCTGCCAACCCCTCTGGACCTTGCTCCCCACGACGAAGTGGGAGCTGCTGTCTGCCCAGGCCTGCCTCTCCGGCCTGCCTCTTCCCTCTGTCCTGGAGCACAGACCCGCGCCGCCGAGGACTCCGGGGGCCGCTGGAAGCCCTTCCCTGTGACCTCCATGGCACTGGACCCCCTCCTGGAGTTGCTGGCCCTCAGCCCCCACTGACAGTGGGCTCCTCAGGGTCAGGCAGCTGCTGTCGCTGCCTAGGCCCTGGGCAGAGTCGGGCAACCCCACTGGGCCCATCTTAGTGCTCTGCCTGAGGACCTAGCCACCTCTAGCCCCTAATACTCCTTGGGCTGACCTGGGGACCCAAGGACTGGGAGTCTTGTGGAGGGGAGTGGGAGAAGCAAATGGTTGTTCTCTGGAACGCGTGCAGATTAAAAAACTGAAGTTTTTACTTTCGCTGTGCCTGGGTGTGTGGGGCCCATGGCTATGGGGCTGGGGGTCAGGGAACCCTTGTCTACTGGAAGGAAAGGGAGTGAAGGACACAGAGTGGGCCCCGACACGGTTCCACCTCTTCCAGGCCGGCAGGTGACTTTCCCTTGCCCTGCCCTTCTTAGCACCTTCGGCGCCTGCCGTCCTGGCCCCGCCCCTCACTCTGGTTCTGCTCCTGCGCCGCGCGCGCAGCTTCCGGGAGCCAGGGGCGGGGCTCGGAGCGCTCGGGTGCGCAGGGCCCGACGGGAGCCACGTCTCTGCGGTTTGAGGACCTAGCTGGGATTGGCGACCGGGGCGGCGGTGCTGGGGCTGCTGGGAAGATGGCGGACTCGGCGGCCCGCCGATGAGGAGGCCGCGGGGGGAGCCCGGCTCCTGGGCCCCGAGACCGACTGAGGGAGCGATCTGCACGGGGCCTGGGGAGCCATGTAGGGTTGGCGCCTGCCAGGGTGGGCCGAGGGAGCGGGGCGGGATTCGAGTTTGCAACGGTGACGGCGGTATCCCGAGGCCCGGGTGGGTTTGGGGACTCTGACATCTCCCACTCCGCGCCACTGCAAAGCTGGGCAGTCGGGCTCCACAGGCGCCCTGCCAGGTGGGCGCTGCATTCTCATTTCATAGGTAAGGAGACAGGCAGAGAGACGAAGTCACTTGTCCAAGGTTACACAGCTGGTAAGTGGGAGCGCCTAGCATGGAACCCAGGACCGTCCGACTGCAAAGCCCGCGCGTTCCACCCTCTGTGCCGCCGCCACCTCCGTCGGGAGGGCGTGTCGACGGGCTGACCAGGGCTCCAGACTGGGCGCGACCACCAACCCGATTTGTGACTTCGGGCGTAACCCTTTTGTCTCTCTGGGCCGTGGTCTCTTCATCTGTGAAATCGGGGAGATAGTGCCAGCCCTGCTTACCTCATATGCTTGTAAGGAGGAGCAGAGGAGATGACGCACGTGAAAGTGCTTTGTAAATGGCACTGTTTTGAGAACAGTACGCTGTGTCGCTGTGTCGAAGGAGTAAGAGGGGCGGGGTAGGGAAAACTAAGAGCAGTCAACACAGAAGGGTGACCAGGAGTCTGGGTCTGGGCGTCTCTGGCTCCAGGCCCCTCTGGATGGGGAGTGAGGTAAGGAGTAGATAGGTTTTTCCTCCCTTTGGAGAAAACCTCACCCCCTTTTCTGGGCCGCCCCTCAGGGTCTCCATCACCCAACTCCATGCTTCGAGTCCTGCTTTCTGCCCAGGCCTCCTCTGCTCGGCTGTCTGGCCTGCTGCTGCTCCCACCAGTACAGCCCTGCTGTCTGGGGCCCAGCAAATGGGGGGACCGGCCCTCTGGAGGAGGTCCCCATATGGGTCCTGTGCAGGGACTGCAGCGGCTTTTGGAACAGGCGAGGAGCCCTGGGGAGCTACTGCGCTGGCTGGGCCAGAACCCCACCAAGGTGCGAGCCCACCATTACCCTGTGGCCCTTCGTCGTCTGGGCCAGCTCTTGGGGTCTCAGCCACGGCCCCCTCCTGTGGAGCAGGTCACACTGCAGGACTTGAGTCAGCTCATCATCCGAAACTGCCCCTCCTTTGACATTCACACCATCCATGTGTGTCTGCACCTTGCAGTCTTACTTGGTGAGGAGAGGCTTGAGGAGGATGTCTTGGGTGGGTGGGTGAGGGTGGTGTTAATGGAAAAGTAGAGGAGAACAGTAGAGGACCCAAGATTAAGACAGAATCTACCTTTTAGGCTTTTTGCCCAGGAATGGCAAATAACTCTGGCACACTGGCTGCTGCTTCCTCTCCTATCCACATGGACCTTAGGAGTCAAACAGCATTATATCCAGCTTAGGGGGCACCACCCAGATTCCCTTTAATGTAGTGCTCCAGAAGCCTCTAAAAGTTGTCATAATTGGCATGAGATGAGAACTTGTTTACTCTTTTTGTATAAAACCTTCAACGACAGGCAGTTCTAACACTTTACATTCCTGTGGTGTTTTACATCCCTCCGGGAGCCCTGGTGGCACAGTGGTTAAGAGTTCAGGCTGCTAACCAAAAGGTCGGCGGTTCGAATCCACCAGCTGCTCCTCAGAAACCCTATGGGGCAGTTCTACCCTGTCCTGTAGGGTCGCTGAGTCAGAATCGACTTGATGGCAACAGGTTTGGTTTGTTTGGTTTAGCATTTTCCACTTACACTATAGCAAACCTTCCCGATCAGGAAGTGGAGATGAGAAAGGGAAATCCACTAACTAAACCCCAGAACAAAGCAGACCCTTATCCGTACGACTGCCTCCTCTGACCCTCTCAGGCTTTCCGTCAGATGGGCCCTTGGTGAGTGCCCTGGAGCAGGAGCGAAGGTTCCGCCTCCCCCCGAAGCCACCTCCCCCTCTGCAGCCCGTCTTTCGTGGTGGGCAGAGGTTGGAAGCTGCTCTGAGCTGCCCCCATTTCCTGCGGCATCCTCGGCAGCATCTGATCCGCAGCCTGGCAGGTGCTGGACGGGGGAGTTAAAGGCAGGTGGGATGGGGAGGTGGGGGGTGAGGGCTGAGGAGGCGGAGACAGTGATGGTGTTGTCTGGGCTGAGTTAGAACATAGCTGACTGGAGGTCTGGCCTGAGAGTCCAGCGTGATAGGCTGTTCTTCGCAGAGGCAAGGCCAGAGGAACTAACTCCTCACGTAATGGTGCTCCTGGCCCAGCACCTGGCCCGGCACCGGTTGCGGGAGCCCCAGCTTCTGGAAGCCATTGCCCACTTCCTGGTGGTCCAGGAAGCCCAGCTCAACAGCAAGGTGGGATTACCTCCCACCCTTTTCTGCTCCTCTCATTGTGGTCATCCTCAGCCACTGTCAGGCCAGCCCTGCCCACCCCTGTCCAGCCTTATTGCCCCTTTTTCCTGCAGCCAACTTACCCCACTAGGCTGCTCTGCTTAATGCCCTGGGGCTTCCACCTTTGCTCACACCCTTTCCTTGGCCTGTCCAACTTAGCATAAGCACCAGAGGTGCTCAGTGCTTTGTAGTTTTTCAAAGCACTCAACACCATCTTGGCTTCACTGATTGCACTCCTTCCTTGAAGTCATCAGGGTCAGCCCCCACAGTGATATCTCCCTCTGTTTGATGATTAATCACATGGGACTCAAAAAACTGTTTATACGTTTTAACTTCTAGTGTGTTATGTTGGGGGCAGAGGGATAGGGTCTGCCTTCACAGCTACATTATAAGCTTGAGGGCCAAAGCTCCCTAAATTTCAGTTTATAAAAAACAGTGGGTAACTGCAGCTGTATCACATACTGCTTTTCCTCAACAGGTGGTACAGAAGTTGGTCCTGCCCTTTGGGCGGCTGAACTACTTGCCTCTGGAACAGCAGTTTATGCCCTGTCTTGAGAGGATCCTGGCTCGGGAAGCAGGGGTGGCACCCTTGGCCACTGTCAACATCTTGATGTCACTGTGCCAGCTGCGGTGCCTACCCTTCAGAGCCCTGCACTTTGTCTTCTCACCGGGTTTCATCAACCACATCAGTGGTATGCAGACAGGGTGGCTGGCTGGCCCAAGGGCTGTGGTGAGGAGAGCAGGGGGAAACGGGTCTGCAGCCCAGCATGCCCAGGCCCTGCTTTCCCCTAGGCACACCTCATGCTCTGATTGTGCGTCGCTACCTCTCCCTGCTCGACACAGCTGTGGAGCTGGAGCTCCCAGGATACCGGGGTCCCCGCCTCCCCCGGAGGCAGCAAGTGCCCATCTTCCCCCAGCCGCTCATCACCGACCGTGCCCGCTGCAAGTACAGGTGGATGGGGCAGCTGGGGGCAAGGGGAGGGAAACAGCCCTGAAGCCAAGAGTAGCAAAACCGAAGGGACCATGAACTGTCCTGGCTGCCTTACAAAAGGCAGTCACAAAAAGACAGGCCTGAGGCAGCGAAGGGATTTGCACAAATCACAGAGCTAGACCAAGACAGAGCTCGGGGGAGAGCCCTGGGCCTTCCCACGATCAGTGTCCCTTCCCCTCAGTCACAAGGACATAGTAGCCGAGGGGCTGCGCCAGCTGCTGGGGGAGGAGAAGTACCGCCAGGACCTGACTGTGCCTCCAGGCTACTGCACAGGTGAGCACAGGTGGGCAGGCAGCAGGCCTGGGGAATAGACGGGACCCTGGCTAAGGGTCGGTGGCCCCTCTCACCCTCTGCAGACTTCCTGCTGTGTGTAAGCAGTAACGGTGCTGTGCTTCCTGTGAGGACCCAGGACCCCTTCTTACCATACCCACCAAGGTCCTGTCCTCAAGGCCAGGCTGCCTGGAACCCTACTACCCAAGACCCTACCCAAAGGTAAGGGAAGCAGGGTGGAAGGGCCTCCTGCCCTCAGAGACTTGTGCCCTTGACTCTGGCCCGCTCCCCCTCCAGGGTGGTGCTGATGCTGCGGGAGCGCTGGCATTTCTGCCGAGATGGCAGGGTGCTGCTGGGCTCGCGGGCCCTGAGGGAACGGCACCTTGGCCTGATGGGCTACCAGCTCCTGCCGGTGAGAGACGCTGCTGCCCTGCCCTTTGTCCTCCCAGCCCCTGAGGCCTTGCTGGTAACCCTGCCTCTCTCCACAGCTGCCCTTTGAGGAACTGGAGTCACAGAGAGGCCTGCCCCAGCTGAAGAGCTACCTGAGGCAGAAGCTCCAGGCCTTGGGCCTCCGCTGGGGGCCTGAAGGGGGGTGAGGGGAAGCACAGTGGGTTAAGATGGCCCCCCCATGGGGGGCAGACAGTTTGCACTTTGGCTCCCATTTTGGTTCTCATTAAAGGCCCTTTCCTTCCCCACAGCTTGTCTGGTTTCTGGGATGGGGAGGTGGCTGGGTTCCCCATCTCTTTTCCATTCATGGCCCCCCCCCCCCACCATACAGAGACAAAAGGCCAGGGATAGGTGGGGGCCGAAGCACTTTACTGCAGGGGTGGGGGCTTTAAATTATTCACTTAAATAAAAATGAGGAGGGAGGGGGTGGCAAGACCCATCCCCCTCAGCCCCTGGTCCCTCTGTCCATCAGTCCCTCAGGCTGGTCCCTCCAGCCAGCAGCTAAACAGGCATGGGCATCTCGTTGTACTCATCCACACCCTCCCGCTCGTCAAACACCGGCTCCGCCTCATTCGCATCCAGCTGTTGGGGAGGAGAGTGGATTTCAGGAAGCTGTGTCCCTGGTCAGGACCATTTCTGAGGACCATGGGAGGGAGGGGACAAGTGGGTGGGAGGGAGAAAGGGAAGATGTCCTTACACATTTCATCTCTCGCTCGGTGAAGATGCGGGTCAGCACCACCATGCGGAGCGGCACCGTGAGGATGAGGATGAAGGGGAAGGCCAGGGAGGCAGCTGTGGACATGACAGCCCAGAGCAGGGCCAGGCAGAGCAGCTGCAGGGCTGTGAACAGGTGCATCCGGAGGGTCCGAACCTGGTGACAGGAGGGTGGAATGGAGACTGATGAGTTCAGGCTTCCCCAGGAGCCTCTGGCCACAGTCCCTGGAGATGGCATCCAGGCCCTGACACAGCGGAGGACTCAGACGGAGGTGGGGAAGGAGGCACCTTCTGGGTGCTTACCAGAGCCCAGGCTGCACCGCATGGACAGCAAACGATGGCTGACTGACGTGGGGAGATGGGGCTGGAGAGTGACCCGAGCAGACCAGGATGGGCAGAGGCCCAGGGGCCCCTTCCAAGAGGGGTCTCACCTTCTTGACATAGGTGACATCTGGGTGGTGTTTGGGTGGCATGAGCAGCAGGTGCAGCCGCTCATAGAACTGGATCCCATTAAGGGAGGTAACTCCCATGTACAGGAAAATTCCAAAGAGCACAGCCAGTGGTATCTGTCTAAGCAGATCCCCAATAACAATGGAGAGGCCTAGGGGAGGAAGGAGGAGAAGCAGTGGGTCCAGGGTTCCCCTCCTGCCAGAGCCTCCACTAGGAAGGGTGGGCAAGAGACAAACATACCCACAAGCAGGGCGACCAGCAGCCCCGTCACCCGCTGCTCCTTAACCTCCTGAATCTTGGGCTTGTCCCCAGGCGCCACAGCCTTGCTCATGACAGTGAGTGCGTTGGCATGTGTGACAGAGCGGACCGTGGCAGCAGCCAACCAGGGCAGGCCAAAGAGGGCGCAGATGCCGCCCATGGCCACAATGAGCAGCAGGTCCAGGTGGAAGCCGGAGCCCTTCTGCAGCATGCGCTCCTTCTTGGAGATGATCAGCCTGGGGGGCGAGAGGGCTCCTGCACCACGACCAGCCATGGCAGCTGGCTTGGCCCACCACCTCGTCTTCCCAGAGCTCCAGCAAATCACCTCCTGCCTGTTTGGGGACCTGGTGATCCCTGTTCATGCTCAGTTCCCTGGGCCAGCATAATCACCCCCTCAGATCACACAGTCCCACCAGGCATTGCCAGGCCGGCCTCCCGGCCTCCCCTCTGGCCCCTCAACGGCACTCACTCACACTTACACATGCTGGGAAACTTTCTACACCATCTACAAAACCAACTCCAGCAGCCAGCCTGGACTCAAGGCCCTCTGAGGCGCATGGGCTCCTCAAGCAATGCAGCTTGGGTTCCCAGGCTGGGTCCCACAGCCTCACACACCCGGTCATTCCTGCCCTGTCTGCACAGCCCACCCTGGCCCCTCCAGTAGGGCCACTCACGTGGTGATCTGAGTCTCCATGAAGATGAGGATGAAGACCAGGATGGCAGGCAGCAGGCTCGCAACCATCATCCACACAGGGAAGGGGCTCGTCTCTCCCAGGGGGTTGATGACCCAGCCCCGTTTTTCTGGGGCTGTCACTGAGAACCCACTGGGCACACTCAGCTTCTGCAGGGCAGAAGACAGGATGGGGGAGGGGCAGGGTGCACGCCGAGGGCACGCCGTGAAAGGCTGTGTCCACCTAGTTTCACAAGAGGCTCCCGGCTTGGGGAAGGCAGTGGAAGCAGCCCAGTACCAGGCAGTACCTTCCCGCTATGCGGTTACACCTTACCTGTGTGTAGGTGTCCTCAATACTGTAGTCCACAAGCACCATGATGAGGATTGCAATGGGCACCCCGAAGTCCCCGATCACCCGCCGGATCTGAGGGCAAGAACTGTGCTCAGAGGCCTCCTGCCCCAGTGCAGCCCTGCCCCTTCCTCTGTCACCCCTTCCTACCCTCACTCCCACTCCCTCCAGCCTTCAAACCCACACACCCGGCCAGGGAAGAACCGGCTGTTCTTGAATTTGCGAAGGAAGAAGGCGATGAAGAAGGTGCCAGCCATGAGCACCAGTGACAGCAGAGCCGTGTTGGGCTGGCCCCGGGGCCTCCCCTGGCCAGACTGCCCAGCTGAGCTCCCGTTGCCCGGCCTCAGCGTTGCTTCTGGCCCAGCCCATGTCTTATTCTCGCCACTGTCAGCCTCTGAGCTGTTGGAGACGGAGCAGCCGTGGAGTGGGTGCTCCTGGAAGACCTGGGGAGAGGAGGGCCACTGTCAGAGACCATGGCATGGCTCAGCTGTGTGCCAAGAGTCGGGGCAGGGGGCCGGGTGCAGCAGGGGCAGGCAGGCCACAGAGCAGATGTGGCACAGGGCAATGTGGGCTTCACAAGGCTGGCAGGGGAGGAGCTGGGGGATGGCCTGCTTCAGGAAGGCAGCAGGGCAGTGTGGCTCCAGCTGGACCCCAAAGAAAGGAAGACACCCAGCACAGGGGACTGGGGGTGCAGGTGTCCATGTAAGCCCATCAAACAGATGTGGATCTGATGTGCCCAGCTGTGACCATGGCTGCCACCCCAGGCCTTTCCCTCTGGGCACTTCTGTAGTGTCTCGCATTTAACACAAGAAATGTGTTTGTTACCCATGTTATTAAAAGATTGACCTGAAGCCCCAGTGTGTGTGCTGAAGACAGGGAGGTGGTGGGGGGCAGGAGGAAGAACAGGCCCTGACTTTGTGAGATCCATGGTTCTCCAGCCCCAGGGGAGCTCTGCGCCAGGTGGCCTTAAATCCAGAAGCAAGGACCGAGAAGAAGGACAGGACTCCAGCTGGCTCCCTCTCCTCCTAAAGCCCTGCCCAGTTCTCGGCAGGGCCCGCCCACCTTAATCAGTTTGTAGAAGGTCTCGTAGATGAAGATGAGAGAGATGAGGAAGGCAAAGATCTCCTGGGTGAAACGGGAGACAAAGCGCACCAGGAAGCTGCCCTCCAGGGCCACCATGAGCAGGGCCAGAAGCACCAGCCAGAAGCCAATCCACACGCGGCCCACCAGGTACTCCAGGTTGTTGCTGCTACAGAACTGGGGTGCAGGGGGGTCCAGTCAGGCCCAGAGCTACGTGGTGGGAAGGGGCTGGGGGGTCCAGTCAGGCCCATAGTATGGAGGGGGTGGATAACTGGGCTGGGGGGTCTAGTCAGGCCTATAGTATGGGGTGAGGGGATGAGGTAACTAGGGTGGGGGGGTCCAGTCAGGCCTAGAGCTATGCGGTGGGAAAGGGGTGTGGGGTCCAGTCAGGCGCAGAGCTATGGGGTGGGAAGGGGCTGGGGGTCCAGTCAGGCCCAGAGTATGGGGGGGTGAATAACTGGGGTTGGTGGTCCAGTCAGGCCCAGAGTATGGGGGGCTGGGTAACTGGGTGGGGGGAGTCCAGTCAGGCCTGGAGTATGGGGCGGAGGATGGGATAACTGGCGGGGGGGTCTAGTCAGGCCAAGAGCTATGGGATGGTCAGGGGAGAATGCCTAGGATGCAGGGTCTAGGGAAAAGGAGGGGCAGCCCAGAGCAGCCTCTGGACACCGTCTGGACCCTTACGGAAAAGAAGGCCTCCTCAAAGACCAGCAGCGGCCCCGAGAAGCCAATCACCAGCAGCGGCTGGGCCCCCAGCAGGCAGAAGATCACACCCTGGAGCGCCGTGGACATGATCAGCTCTGACACCCCAATCAGGTCTTGCGTCTTCTCTCCTGGGGGCAGAACCAGACCAGGGTCTGTCAGCCTAAGCCCTGTGTGGCCCACCCTCCCATCCACTCAGAGCCCCTCCCTACCAAGTAGTCCACCAAAGGTGATGGCAGGAGACAGGGCGGCAAAGTAGATGAAGATGACAGCAGCCAGGCACTGGGGGTCGAGTGCGTCTCGGAAGTCACTCAGGTAGTGGGGGTAACGGCGTCGCACATCACGGATCAGGCCCCCAAAGGGCCGGCCTGTCCGCCGAAGGGGATCGTCTTCAGCTGTGCCCGCCGCCTCTACCATCTGCAGGAGCGCTGCAACCCAGGCCTCCATCAGGGCCCCAGCAGAGCCCTCCCCCCGGCCCCCGAGGCAGGGCCCCCCACCCCACCCCCACAGCAGCTCAGCCAGTCCCAGGTCCTGCACCGGCCCCGTACCCTTGTCTTGGGCAGACTTGGGCTCCAGCCCAGCCCCAGGGGGCAACAGTCGGCACTGCTCTTCCCGCTTCTTGAGCATCTGGCGCTGGAAGTGAGCCACAGAGCGCAGCAGCTCCTCGCCCTGCACTTCAGATGGGGGCAGCACCACGCTGCAGTCCAGGAAGGCGTTGATGGCGGTCAGCAGGTCTTCCCGCTCATCTGCCAGGTAGGCTGCCTCGTGGAATTGCTGCCAAAGCCGGGCAAGGGTCAGTGGGGCACAGAGAAGAGGGCAAGGGACCCTGGAGCCCTGAGGCTGGGCAAGGTGTGGGGGGACAGGTGGTGCCTGGGGAGGGGGGCAAGCTGACCTTGTCGGACATGAGGGTGGAGATTGAGCGACCGATCTCGTGGTAGTCCATGTTGGCGCTGCTTGGGCCCAGCAGCAAGAAGAGAAAGCGCACGGGCACGGGCACCTCGAGCACCGCGTCCAGCTCCACCGCCTC